GTCCGGCTCTCCACACTGACTAGTTGTTGCCCCTGCAGCAGGAGGGCGCGCATCCTCGGATAGCTCCGGCGGCGCCACCAGGCTGCCGAAGGCCACCAGCTCCTCGAAGAGGCGCGACACGAGGGCCTCGCTGCCCTCCGCGGACCACTCGGGCGGGAAGCCGCCGACCCGGACCTTCGGCGTGCTGACGTGGCCCTCTCGGACGGCGGCAGGAAGCCGAGCAAAAGAACGGACTGCACGAGCACAAACTTTTCAGAGCTCCAAGCGGATGTCTTGGATCGGCGCTGGACCCCTTCACTGGCGCGCGGAGCACGCCAAGGGCGGCGCCGGAGGCGCCCAGCGCCGATCCGAGAAATCTACGCGGAGCTCCGACAGTTTATGGTTACAGCAGGAGCTCGACCACAAGAAACCTTCCACGAGAAACCCAACCCTGAGACCCCAGGACGTCCATTGATTTTTGGTGTGGCAACGTTACCCTTTCCCTGGCAAAACCATCGAGACCCAAGAAATCCAGGGCACCGTGGAGGCAAGCAGGGTTATTCTTGGCATGGGTTTCAACTGTATGCCCGTTCTCTTCTTCGAAGGAGGTACAAATCGAATCGCGAATCTTAGGAGGCAACTCTGGGGAGGTCTTCACAAGAACGATAAAAAGCTGCTCAGCCCAAGTAAGGGGGACATTCAGGATTCGAAGTCCAGATTCAGCCGAGGATTCCGCCGGATTGAGCAGGATTGAATCAGATTGAACCGGATTAGGAGGGAGTGTGCCTGATTAGGAGACATACCAGCGCCGATGCTGAATTTAGCCTCCCGAGACGTGCATCTGAACGACTACGGGAGCCCGCGAGTCCGGAGGACGCACCGGGCACACCGCGGCGTCTCGAGAGCGCTCCCGAGAGCTCCGAGAGCGTGCTGGGGCGAGGAGCTGTCTGCTTCCCGTGCCTGCCCGAGCCTGGGCACCGCCCCCCTTCTGGGGGTCGCTGGTGAGCCGGATCGTGACCGGGACCCGGGACTCCGGGTGCGAGAAGGAGCAGTCGGGCGCGTTGCACTCCTGCCCCGAGGGGACAAGATCATCACCACCACCAGCAGCACCAGCACCATCATCATCATCATCATCATCATCATCATCATCATCATCACCATCATCATCATCGTCATCATCATCATCATCACCATCATCATCATCATCAGCATCATCAGCATCGCCACCATCAGCAGCAGCAGCACCACCAGCATCAGCATCAGCATCAACATCATCACTACCACAATCACTAGAATCTCCACCACGTCGCCATTGTCCTCTGCGGCCTGACTAGTTTCATTTCTTTTCAGATACTCTGCTTGTAGTGATGCCGGATCTGACGACGTGATAGCGTACCCCACAACGTGAGCATGCGCAATGTGCCAGCATGGCAATCATGGGGTGCGCCGATGGGCGGCGTAAGTGCGCAAGAGATCAAGCTGGCCCTCCAAGAGACTGGGCAGGAGCCACTTCACACGTGTTCGTGGGGTACACCTGTAGGCGATGTGAATGCAAAGCTCCAGCAGCGCCTCTGAAAAAGTCAGTGAGCACACTGGCAAGACGCGCGTGTGTGCGCGCGCAGAGGGCCCGCGCTGGCCCTCGAAGAGAGCGCCAGGAGCCTCAGTACCAATGTTTTCACCAGGCACGCCACTGCGACGGGGGCGTCTGAATATAAAGAGTTCCCGGTGTCTCTTCCCGAGAGAGGCCCCAGGCGCCACTGCACCTGTGTCTTCACAGGGTACGCCCATAGGCGGGATGCGCGCAAAGTGCTCCCAAAAACATCATGCTCAGGAGCCAGTTTGCTTGTCAATGGGCGCGCCTTTGAAGTCCTCCCACTGGCCCTAGAGCGCCCAGGAGCAACCAATGGTTGGGGGGAGTGCAAAGAGCTCCCACTGGACCTCTAAGAAGCGCTGCGGAGACATGTTGCTTTTATTTTCAGATGGTGCGGCCATCGATACTCTGAAAGAGAACAGAAATTCAGGACGACGCCACCCAGGGTGGAATTCGAGCCCAGGCGATCAACGGATCAACCGATCAGCCGATCAGCGGCCGAACAACCGATAAGCCGATCAGCCGGTCAGCCGATTAGACTATTCGGCTGATCGGCTGATCGGCTGCTCGGCCGCTCATCGGCCGATCGGCTGCTCAGCTGCTCGGCCGCTGACCGGCTGACCGGCTGCTCGAACACCCTATACCGGGGGACGGTCAGATAGAGCGAAAATCGCGCTGGGCATGTTAGCACGAATGACCCTCCAGACCCACAAACCGGACGATATCAGATAGAGCGTGTCCCCTCTGAGAACACACCATAAGAACAACGCGTTGCGGGACAATCAGACAGCACACGCCCAAGAGGAGGCAGGGCGGGGGGGAGCGGGATGGCGCCGCCGCTCGAAACATCATCGCAGCTGCGGAGCCGCCGCTCGGGACATCCTCGCAGCCGCGGAGCCGCCGCTCGGGACATCCTCACATCCGCGGGCC